AAAATTTATTGAACAATATTGATCGATGTTATAAATGTTCTATCACTTCTAATAATCTATTTTCTTTTTTTAACTTTGAGGAACAAATAAAAATCTATTTGGTGTGACTGGTATTTTCTTAATAATATTTTTGGTACTATCAGAGATTATTGCTTCGGCCATGTTTTTAGGACTAAGATTACCAGAAGCACTGATTTTTAAAGCAACAACACCGGCAGTTAATGGAGATGAGAAGCTTGTACCGGAATCTAGAGCAGGCAGGCCAAAGAAAAGTACAGGAACATCGACACCAGGAGCAAAAATGTCAACGCAAGGTCCAAGATTTGAGAAGTCAGCCATTGAATCATCATCCTTGTCAGTTGCACCTACTGTAATTGCAGTTGGTGCACTTGCAGGCGAGGTAAAACAAGCATTTTGACCCTCATTTCCAGCAGCTACGACAACATGTATACCTGCCTTTGTAAGATCATTAACTGCTTTGTTTACTGCTGAAGAAAATCCACCACCTAATGACATATTAATAACTGTGTTTTTGTTTTTGTTTGCTAAATGCTCCTTTAATACAAGCATCATACCCGAAATAACACCCTCAAAAGTTCCTGAACCTTCTGAATCAAGTACTTTGATAGCTATAAGTTTAACTTTTTTTGCTACACCAAAATGAATGCCACCAATAACACTTGCAACTTCGGTGCCATGACCTTCGTCATCAAATCGAGGACATCCATCACAAAATACACCAGCAAATCTAACACGATTGCCGAATTCTGATTTGGTTTTATTTATACCAGTATCAATCACATAGACGTTTACACCGCTACCAGCTGAACTGGGGTACTGGTATTTTCCATTTAAAGGACGCTTTCTTTGATCTATACGATCCAAGTCATAAAACGAAGTCTTTTCAACGGTACTGGCTCTTTTTTGTATAGCAGCAAAAGCTTTAACTTTTGCTACCTTTTCAACTATTTTAATGTTAGGTAGTGTTTTGATTTGTTCTTTAAGTACTTGAGGATTAAAGGAACCAAAATAACCAACAAGGGGACCAACTGAAAAATGTAATAATTTATTCGACGAAAAGCTCTTGGTTGTAATTCCATCACTTTCTTCTAAAGCTGGCGCAGAATCTATATCCCAGCAGTCTTTATAAAAATTTAAATGTTGTTTAAGAATTTCTGAATCACTAGAGGCGGCGGATGTTGATCCTTGTTTAGGTTCAAGGAAAATCATAAACCTTTCTTTGTTTTCATTGAGATCTTTACTGGAAGCACCTTTAATACACTCGATTTTAGCCGAGTCGACTAAAACAGCAGAAAATAGCGACGAAACTAAATATAATATAGTAGCAATGGAATAAACTTTAGAAGCAATCATTTTGTTTTGCGGATTTATTTTTTCTTTGTAATAAACTGAATGAACGAATTTAATTAATTAATCGAATAATTGTTTTGTAATTATGTATTATGTGAAAGAATGAAATGGATAACAAATTCCCGAGGCGAGGGAATTGTGCAGTGAAAGGAAAATTAGGTATTGTCGAGTATTAATGAAATGAATTGATTTATGTGAAGAAAGGAGGTGATGAGGTTCATTAAAAAAAAAAGAAGTATATTTATATAACATGTACGCATATGCTTAATTACAATGAGAATTAATTTGTACGCGCAAACAAACATTGTTTGTTTGTTATCGTTATAATAAAATGCATGAGGTCCGATTCTTGTTAAAGGATTGGCGACGAAAAGAATTAAATTAAATTAAATTAAATTAATGGTGGGATTGATGAATGGATAGGTCGATTTATGAGATCAAGAGGAAAAAAACGGACTAAGATGAAAGAAATTTATTAAAAAAAGAAGAAATATGTTTATATAAAAAAAAGACAAGTTATAGTGATAGATGTACGTACATTAACAAAATACTTTACCAATTAAGAATATTTTTACCTTATGATTGAATATTTTTTTTTTTAATTTGATGCTTTGAATAATTTAGCAATTCACCAATTAACACATTGACATAAGGATACAATAATAACAATTTCCTCTCAACGCATTTTTATACAATTCATTATTCTTTACCTAATTAATTAAAGATCAACATTTGTTTTGTTATGTAACATTGAACCAATTAAACCAGTCCAATTCATTAAAATTGCAGCAACAACACAACAATGTGAAGTTAATAAAAATGAATTTATCTTTATTTAATCAAGATATTTAGATGTTCCGCATTAATGTGTAAAAGTAGTTTTAAGTTTGAAGTTAGGAAATTAATTTGTGTATCAAAATATTCAATTGGGATTTTCCATAGTAGCTTTTTCGTTGGCCAATTATTTACGTTTATTTAACAACTATGGCCGATTATGGCTTAACTTTTGGTTTATTCATGTCGGTTAACTGCAAGCAGTCCATAAGAATTCGGTGTTTGTCGATTAATTGATTTATGAATTTACTATGGTTCTCGCTTACTGTTTCTTTTTGTACCTGGAAGCTTTGGCAAATATGTGAACACACTCAATGGTACAGGATAACTAAATAAAGATGGCCCTTTTACAAAGATCAAGGCCTCTATAAAGTTTTTTTTATTTACTCGCGAACGATTTATTTCAGTGGTTAATTTTTTATTAGGCCGATTTTCAATCTCGCCTTGATTTATTACAAAACAATTTGTTTAACAGCTTTATGTTTTTTGGTTACGAATACAATAACACTACCATTTGCTTACTCACTAAGCAAATAACGTTTACTAATCGTTGTTAACACTCATTAGTTATCCAGCGTTAGTCCTAACCTTTCTTACGAAACAAATAAAGTGTGGCCTTTTACCAAAGCTCCACAGTCGTTGCCTTTTTACCAAAGCATTCCTTTAAACAAAAAATAAAATAAAGGCTTATATTTAAGGATTTATTTTAAGATTTCCAATGTTTCGATTTTAATTTAAATCGATCATTTACTCTTCTCTGCCTTTTTTAAACGAGGACTTGAACAAAGTTGTCTATTCAATTATCAATATTTCCAAGTCTTTCATTTCAAAAATTAACTAATATAAAATTGTAAAATTAAATTAGTTATTCGCGTTTTGTCTCCTTAAAATATTGATTCCTTTACTGGCGCAAGTGAATATTTAATCATCACATCTTCAGGGCACAACCCCCTTATAAAAAATATCTATACTGAAACACAAGTCTTCAGATTCACCAATTTATGAAATCAAATTCCTGTTGCTATTTTCAGAACAGAATTTAATGAACATCAAAGGAAAAGAAAAAGTACAGCGATTAAAAGGAAGCATGTTGTTGTTGACGATTTGACAAGAGATAATTATTTGGATCGCTTTAAAAATGCATGTGCCACATTCAAGAATTCCCAAGATAATGATGAGAATGAAAAACATCCCGTATGGATTATTATCACATAAACAATTAGAGATATGTCAGTTGTCTATATAACCTTCCTAAATCTCCTGCTGGACTTTCTTCTGCCATTAATGAATATTTGAGACAATATGTCACCTCTATAAAAAATATGTGGAGTGGACCTAATTATAAAAAATCCCTGGACAATCTCTTGCGGATTCCCTTCCTCCTCTCCCTTGTCTTGATGAAATAAAATCTCATATTCTTTTAAAATCACAGCTCCTTATATCAATGAGATTTCATACACTCGAAAATTAATAAAGTATTGAGAGAGTTCTCTTAAAAAATTAGAGAATAAGAAAACACTGGAAGCTATACATACTCTTGCATAAAAGGAACATACCCTTAAAACAGTCCAAACCATGGCAGAAATTTGATGCAACTCATAAAATCTATCAAGAACCCAAGTCCCAGTTGAAGAATTGACATAATAAAACAAAAAGATCATGAACAAAAATTTGATGCTGCAGAAAAAAATTATGTGAAAGAGCATTCCAGAAAAGAAACTCGAAATAAACCATTATAATCATCATAATCCCAACTTCAAACATCATCCATTCTCTTCACAGTTATCATCACGACACTCACAGCCTCAATAATCTTCCCCTTCACTGTCTCAAAACTTGATGGATTTTGTACCAAATGCAATAACCACTACATCCCTTGCTCCCAGTCCTCATATTCTCATCCACTTGAATGTCCAAAATCACATTCATTTACCCCGCCAGTTATGTTAATTGGTACAGCTAGTACAGGAGTTAATTCTCATATAAAAAAAAGGACATGCTTGTAGAGGTGATGGTAAGATGAGGGAGCAGCATAAAAAATATTGCGTTGTTGGAATGACTAATGAATACCGACCTTCACAAACCTGCGTATGATGTTTCTGACAGACTAGGCCTGCACAATCCTGTAGAATTATCAAATGGCAAGATCGCTAGTGTCAAGGTACACGTGCTGTTGAGTGTATCAACCAACATGTATTTCATTCAAATGTAAAGCCTCGGGATCTTCTTCATTCAGCAGCTGCCATTGCTATTGTTAGCGAACCAAGATTGCTCTTAACTTCTTATTTGCTCTACCACCCTTTTCAAGAACCTATACACCCACACAAACCATTAACACCAGTCAATATATACTAGACAGAACACTCTCAATATCCAATGGAGTCTCTCCTAGTCAGAGAGATTAAAGAAATAGTTAGTAATTCATTTGCCACTTGTTAATCCTATAACTACCAAAACTTAAACGTGAAACAAGCTTATTTGAATTTTTGACAATTGAATTAGGAATTGAAAATTTTTTGGTTATATAAAAACATCTTTTAATAACAACTCTATTCATTTTTGATTAACAAATTTGAATTTTTTATAAACATTGAGAACTGACTATCAAAAAACCTCCTCATGTAACACGAATATAGCAAAAGATATGGATTAAAGATAGCAGCAGTCTCTTCTCATTGATTTTTATTTTTTCTTTTGAAGTGATGATGTGAAGAGTAATCGTTTTTCGTAGAAATCAATAATCTAAATATTTTTGATTCACATTAATAATATAAATAAACAAGCCATTATCATTTCTAAACTATTAAAACTACCTTTTGAGGACATTTGGCATTTACTTCTTTAGTTGAATGCTTTGAAACTTTTCCATTTTTCCTAAATGATTTTTGATGATTTTAGGGAAAAAAAATATATATACACATACGTATCTACCAACCACATAAATTCACCACATACAAACATATAAATAATACCATCTAAGAAATACAGACAATTCTTCTGTTTCATCGTCGCGAATGATAGATTCAACTGATGAAACTTTATTCTCCCAATCGTCATCATCTACCATCACAATATCAATATCAATATCTTTATCTAATGTGACTTTAATTTTGTTTGGTTTTTGATGTCTTGATTCTTTTACGACTGTGGCTCCCTCTATATTTTTTTTTGTTTTAACATCTTTTGAACTAGCATCTATCATAGTTGATGCACTATTAGAACTGGGCAGACCAGAACTATGATTCTTATTATGTTTATTTCTACTTCTAGTAATTCTACCACTCATATCATTGCTTTTGTTGCTACTTTTTGAACTTTGAAGCTTTGTCCAATATTGTTGTACAAGTTCATCTGCGTACCTTTATTACGAATCAATCAATTTAAATTCTTAGATTAAACTAGAAATAACAATTTTAAATTGAATATTTACAAATCTTCTTCATAGATCCAAGAAGACTGATCTTTTGAATATCCTATAATGAATAGTCACAAATTGATCAATATACACTTTGCCTATTTTTATTATCAACAGATTGTATATAATAATATGCAAATAAATACCTTTCCATTTAACGAGATAATATAATTTCGACTAAATTTTATAGATTTTATACAACATAATTAACATGACTTTCTCTGATGAGAGAAATTATAAATTTCATCATAAAATGCACGTACTTTTTTAACTTCATGGTCGAAAATGCTCTCGATTTCATATTCACTCATCTCGATGCAAATAAAATGTTACTAAACTAATTTTGTATTGAATTTTTTAACTTAAAAAAAAACCAAAATACAGAATTTTAAAAAAACTGTAATGATCGACGATCTAAAAATCAAAGGCCAATAGCTGCTTTACGAGCCAACCAAAAAATAATCAATAGTTATCATAATGTTTTAATAATATAGTGTTATTCATTCGTGATATTTATTAATTTGAAAAAATATTAACAAATAAAATAATAATAAAACAGAATGACAAAATTTTTTCTCATTTAAATATATATAATGATACCTGTTGCAATTAAAAACCGTTTTTATATGACGTAATTATGGTTGCGACCATCATCAAAAAAGTTGCAGCCAGTACCTTTAAATATGTAAATAAATTCTGTTCTTCATTCCTCAAACCTATACAGTAAAAATAAATAGCAAGTTCAAACATTATTATTATAATTAAAACCATAATAAAGCCAGTAGCTACGTACTACCATTGTGGCTCTTAAAGCAGAATGAATACAATTAATTGCTTCTGAATTTAGATTTCCATAAACGTAAGTCATAACTTTGAGCAAATTCAAGTAAGACAGCACCATTAAAAATTTTTGTTGGATGGAATTATTACACAAAGATTCAGTTAACAAAGATAATTCAGGAAAATACTTATCCAAGTGTTTTACATTTTCAGTTGGTTTCTCTCCTGATACCATTTCTGTTTCTCTTTAGATTCATATTCAGCTAATCGACCTTTTCAACAGATTTCAAATAGGCATGGCAAATCTTTTGCTTCGAGTTTCGTATTTGCTATTACTATTTATAAATTCTCGAGAATCAATAGAGACAGATTGGACCAGTCCAAAAAAACCTTACCCGGATCCCCGTCAGACAAACCCATAGGTCACCCGGCTAACATCACTATATGAAATACACCCAGGATAAATATTTCGAGGTAGCTTTTGGTTAATGTCGATTGTTTTACGTTTATGGCCGAATTCGAATTAACTTTTTAGTTACACTCGCAAGCCTTTATATTTAATGCACGTCAATTAATTTATTTTATGAATATATTTTAACAATTTTCTGATTACTGCCTCTTTTTGTACCTAGAAAGCTTCGGTGATCTGTAATCACACTTTATGGTACGATTTACAATAGATACGACAAAGGCTTTTTTCTAAAGTTCCATTTTATTTTTCTTTGGCCGCTTAAAAGCTTAGTTGATTTAAACTGCTTTTCATTTAACAGCCTTACATTTACAACAATTATTTTAACACAAGATGTGATAATAGCATTATATATTTAATTAATCGACAACAACGGTTAACACTTTATACTTTAAAAAAATCCCGTTTAACAAAAATTTGACTCTTGCTTCTTTACTAAGCAAAAACCTTACTATCCGTTTTTAACACTACACTCGTTAATCAACCTCACAAAATCTTTGCTTTCTTATTAAAGCAAATATCTAAAACCTCAGAGTTCTACAATTAACTCCCACTGTTTAATTTCCGACCACAAAAGTGTCTTATTAAGCGAAAAACAATTAAATTGTGGGAATGTTTTTACAGAACGGAATTTTTATAAAAAGAAATAATTTATTCTTATTTGGCCACATTATCATTAATCAATTATTAAACGGTCTATTGCCCTCGTCCACACGCTCTAATTTATGATTGCATCATTGGAGTTGATTCTTAGTCTTATCAAATTGTATAATTTTTTATGGCGTTTTTTGATTCTGTCAAGTACCAATCGGGAATTATATTTTTGACAAAATGTTACCAATGTTATAAAAAAACTATCACGTCAAATTCGCTGCCATTAAGTCAAAAATGACGCAAGTAAAATTGCTTTAAAGGCTAATAAAATATAAAAATATATTCCAAGGTCTTCTCTTTTGTTTTTATATTTCTCTTGTGTATCCCAATCTCTCTTTTATTTCATTGTTCCAGGAACTGAGTTTTTCTTTTGCTGAATACAAATTCAGTTCCCACACACTCATTTACTACTAAACTCGAACATTTCTTATATTAGTATTAACAACGTGATACATGATCTGGGTAGATAAATCATCAACTAGGGTTCATTACTTTATATGCTTCAGGGTCAGTGTATCAAAATGAAATTTTACGCAAAAGCTTTTTATAATTACTGTGTAGAAATTTTTATAATACCAATATTGATTGATTAAGTTACTTTGCAATAATAAACTCATCTTTATCTTTATTGTCGTGATCATATTAACGTGAATCTCGAAAGTTGATTGGTTGATTTTTTCTGTTTAGGAAATAATTTACCTTATGGCGTGATTTTTCAGAATTAACCAAAGCATTATAAATTCCTTTCTTTTCTTTTTGGTGATAATAATTTTAGCACATGACATTATAAAAAAATATAAAAGAGTTTTTTTGAGAATAACAGTCACATTATTTCCTTTTTCTTTATGGAGAATCACGCGTAATACAATTTAAAAGTGATAAAAATAGAAAACGGAAATTCTTTTATTGTTGAATCACAATAAATCAATCACTAGAGTTTGGTGAAGAAGAAGTTGTTCTTTTCAAGATATTTTTTTATCAATTAATCCACCAAGAGAAAATTTAAGCTATTTAACTGTCAACAAAAATGTGAATTATTAATATAAATATTAAATCTTCGAAATTAAAACTTACAAAAATCTGTACCAAAACCTTCTTATGTGTTATTACTATGTAAAGGTCATTCTACGTGCCAATATTGATCAGCCTATGTTGTTTCAAACTCAGACACACTAAAGGCAGTTCAGATGCATTTTTATTTTATTAATAATATTATTGTGTATTAGAAAAAACATCAAGTTAGCATGTGTGTAAAGTTGCTCTATTGACCTCAGGCACTAAAAACAATTCGAATGTGTTTTCATTTTATGAAATATAATAATAAAAGAAGAAATATTGATAATGGTAAAAAAAAAAAAGAATACGCGATTTTTATTTTGAAAGAAAATAAATACATGGATAAATCAATCAATTTGTCAATATAAAATTAAAATGTCAGTGAAAAAATGAGTTTATCATAAATACGACATTAAAATCTTACTTACCGATCTAATTACCTGAAGTTAACGGCAGGCCCAAAGTTGTAATCAAATCAAATTACTAAACAATCCTCCTCTTCCGGTGCGGGATTGGATGATTAAAGTCGCTTCACAGATCGTAAAAAACTTTTTGCATCGCAATTTTTTTTTCTGTTTTCCCTTATTCAATTTCAAAAAATGTAACCTTACATTTTCCAGTTACAATTCACATTGTTACGACATCATATTAATAATACAGACAAAGTTCTCTATACCGAACCCCCTGGAACGAGAAATTTCATCTGGTACAGAGAGCGTAAGTATCAAACATCAATTACGAATAAAATTCATAATAATTTATTGACTGATTACATGTCGTCCACATGTATTCACAAAAATCCTTTTTTAAAAATTAATTTTATTTAATAAGTTTTTTTAATTATTCATATAATCGTCAATTTTTGCTTGTTCTTTTGAATTAAATTCAATATTTTTTTATCAATTTCAATTCATTATTTGCTAATCGTGATTTGTCTGATTGTTTATTTAACTTTTCCTGATGCCAACAAGGCACCTATCTTTATATAATACAGGTGGAGGAGTAGTAGTAATCGCTTCAGTTATATCATTATCAACATCATTAGTTGCTTTCTGGTCTATGCCCAAATCTTTACATATTTGAAAGGCATGACAATTTACAATGGGTATAATTAAAGATGCTCGTCTGAATTTAAATATGATGCACCAAGTTATATAGATTTGATGAATCATTGTTAAGGTTTCAACCTTTTATTTGTGTTAATATTAATGAAAATTGGCAATGTAGAGCAGCAACGGGAGCATGCTCACCATAACATTCTAATGACAACACTTTAAGTGGGCTGATAATCAAATGTAAATAGTTCATTATTTCATTGAGTTACAACTCTTTATATGACAATCATCATCAAAAGTTTTCAACTCAATTTAGCCAGAATTTTATTATAAAAATACAATTGAAATAAATAAAATTAAATAGAAAAATAATTATTTTGAATGTCTAATCTCATTCAATAAAGTTTGAATTTGAATCAACATTTGTTCATTATGATTTTTAAGATTTTCATGACTCATTTTAATTTCCTTGAGATCATTGTTAAGATTTTCATGATCTACAGCCAAAGTTTGCAACATCCTATTGCTATGATTTAATTTTTCAATTTCCTTTTCTGGCTTGGGCATATCTGCAATTTTTCTAAGTTTCTCAGAAATTAATGGAAGAAATTCTGGATCTTCTTGACTACTATCAATTTCTCTGATTCTTCTTTGAACATCTTCAACTGGCACATAATAAGATCTATCAAATTATCAAATTAATTAAATTAATTATGATTATTTATCAAAAAACAAAAAAAAAATAAGCATAATTACAATAAATCAGGAAACCATTCTATCCAACAATGTTGATTAGGAAGTAAATAAAATAATTCAATCTCTATTATGATTTTTGCCTTTTTAACTAAAAATGCTTCATCTATGTCATAATTTTCAATTTGGTTGCTAAGAAGACCAATGAACAAATTCATTAAATATATCACAACAACAAATGA